GTAGTCTACTGTATTACCTGTCAATGCCTCTGTGGTATGAGGTGAGTGTATCGGACTCATATTCTGACCCATTGGCTTTACGAATTGACAGCAAGAAGGAACCAATGAAGTTGTCCAGTTCAGCCGGTGTTATGTCCCAGATTTACCTCAAGTCATTTCTTGGTGGCTCAGCCAGCTAACGTTGAAACTGACGGAGACTTGTTTCAGTTTTTTTACAGTGTTTTTGTTTTTCATTCCTATAACAAAGCTTTCTTGTTCTGCATCAGTTATGTTGAGGAAGGTTGGATTGTTAGCATTTGATTTGTCAGAGTTTAGCTGACCAACAAGATTGTCTGGACTCTGTGTGGCACAATTCAAAGTTTCAGAGATGATGATGTAGATCTATGAGGGAGATGGCTATGTCAACAGTCAGTTCACTGGCATCTGCATGTATTTGGTCAGTTTGTTAAAACCTCCTCCTCAAAAGCCAAACAATTCATCAGATTGTTCAACAACATCAAAATACACATTCTGAGTTAGGGTTAATAGGTCCAAGTCATCATCAAACAAATCGTCGGACAATTTTAACAGAAAGAGCTCCGTTACGTTTTACCATTGACAGTAACGCCCACTACATGTATACAGTACAGTTGCAGACGGTCTATAAAATCACGAACACTTTTTTAACGCGAATGTTATTTGTGTTTATTAAACAGGTTATGAAATTTGGACAAAATTATGGGGTTTTCACATTTGAAATGTTGAAAAAACGTGAATAAAACTTGGTAAAACATGATTGTTTATCTATTTTGACAGCGGAATTTCGTTACTAAATATAGCAATGGATTCCCCGCAAAGTGCTCTTTGCAGTATTGGCTCCCGTTTCAATACACTACGTAACGTAAATAAATGGCGGGGACCAAACCAAAAAATAGTTCGGCACTTCCATATATGGAGCCGTATTTGTCACTAACATAATAACGGAAATTTCTATCCGTCGAAGCGTATTTGCGCTTCAAGAATTGCGTGTATTTTAGGGAGAAAATTTATAGGTATATAATAAAAGGATTTATTGGATGATCAGGAAACTTTTATACGCGAGTGTGGACGCTAGAGGGCACGATGCAAAACTTTTATGTTGCAGGCTCCGTTTACTATAGAATCTATGCTGCAGGATATCATTTTTGGCCTAGCTTAGCCCCTGAAAGTCATCTAAAAACGTGTGCATTAACCACAATCTCTTCCATGTCCTGAAAACAGTACATGTGCGTTCTGTAACAATTGAAGTTATAGCTTCATAAATACTAACATAACGTAAATAGGCTCGTTAGATGGCCAGCCCATCCGTACTTCTTTAATTTGATTAAAATTATTTTAAAATATTTCGGAAGATACGGATGCCTTTCCTAAAAATTGATAGATTAATATTAAATTCTGAGAAAATGTAAGACCACGGAAGAACATCTTTGACATTATGAAGAATGTATTTATAATTGTTTCAGCAATTAATAATTTTTCAATTACCCGTTTTGTTAACAAATTTCTTTAACAAAGAACAACATAATAGTTTTTCATACCTGTATTTATTTCTGATTATATTATACACAATAAAACCAACACTCGTACTGTTAAAGATCCTGTATGTTTTGTGATTGATATTGTTACTGTGTGTATACCACACTTGCAACAAACTATATATGTATATAATTATGCAAATAAAACAATTTAATATAAACATCGAAGAATATGTAAAATATGCACTGCAAATTTTTGTGCACATTATATGTAATCAATAAATTACATGCATTCATTTCTTATTGGAAAATTTGAATAATATTTATAGGAACCAAATTCTAATTACCTCCCTTTATTTACATGAAATGTTAAATTGGGTAATATACTTATAAATAATGCTTATTGGAACTTAAATTATTGACAAATCTTAATTTGAGCATCACATTTATGAAATAAAACCATGGAAAAATTGTGTTACACGATCTTAAAACAAAAATTCTAAAATCAATAATATGTATATGTTATTAGCTGTGTATGTGGATTTTGTGAACCATAAAAAGTGTTTTTACTTAGTAATATTTTGGGCGTGCCACATTGTGTGACAAGTTTACAGGACAAAAAACACTAAAACAAAATCAATAAATGACATTATATATGCAAGACTATTAAATTCACAATAATAATCCAATAAAGACAGCTTACATATATAAAGTTGACATATAATCAAAATTATGACAATTTTAGAAAATAACAAACAAATCGAAGAGTACATCTTAAATACCTCAATATAAAAATTAAATAACAAAGAAGTCATGATGAACCTTGATCGCTCATCTGAGATCAACTGCTAGAAAATGTTATAAAGCATTAAATCGGGAAAAGGTTATTTGGTCACATTCGGTATTTGGTCATTTTCTAAGTACAGCTATAATTCATATCACTTAGGTAGCATTTCACTAGGCAACACAAATCTTTTTTTTAACCACCCCCCCCCGCCGAAAGGTGGCGGTGGATATAGAAAAAGTCTCCGACCTTCTATCCGTCCGTCCTTTCACCCGACATTTTGCCCAGAGCATATCACAATAAATATTTGAGGTATCAACTTGAAACTTCATAGGTGGATAGATCATATCAAGGAGAAGTGCAGTGCATAATAATGATTACTCTGCCTTGAATAATTTTTTAGTTATTGTCCTTTGTTATTTCTCAAACTTAATTTTTGTCCAGAGTATAACTCAAAAAGCCTTTGTAATATCAACATCAAACTTCATAGGTGGATATATCTCACTCAGGTGGTGTGTAGTCCAAAAAATTGATAACTCTACTCTTCATATTTTTGAGATATTGTCCTCTGTTATTTTTCATCCTCAGGTGAGCATAATTCAAAAAGTATGAGATATCAACATGGAAACTTCATAGGTGGATTTATGTAATTGAGAATCAATGCTGTGCGCAAGAATGATTACTCTACTCTTTATAATTTTTGAGTTATTGCCCTTTGTTATTTTTCATACTTTTGTCCGGAGCTTATCGTTTAAGTGTTAGAGGTATTAATTTGAAAATTCATAGGTGGATAGATCTCATTGAGAAGGAGTGCAGCACACAAGAATGATAGCATACCCTGCATTATTTTTTCAGTTCTTGCTCTTTATATTTTCAGCCGTCAGTATTCACATAGGTTTCAAACATGTAATCACTTTGGCATCAGTTTTCTTTATCAAAAGACCTCTAATAATTGAATTATTCTGCTCTTCTACATATATATTCCTCCAATGAGCAAACATATTCGGCTCGAGATGGCCATATAAATGTGGCTCTTGTTTACCTACAAACTTTTAATTTATTATTTGCATGTGGTTTAGAAGTCTGTGTAAAACAATTGATCCAAACTGACTTTTGTAGAAAATAGCATGTCAAATATGGAAGCTCTTAGCAATGACATTGATACGGAAAATATTCTCATATTTCTTTACCAAGGCTGACCTTTTTTCTCAAGAAAATTATCTATACAACTTTTGTTGAGGTTCATAGGACAATCATACATGTCAGTATTTAAGCTTTAAGACATATCTCTATATAAGAATATAAAAATGCTTTTTCCTATATAAGTCCATGTAAATTAGGTGACGTCTAGTTTGGATTGTATTCTTAACAATGAGGACTGATTTGAATTACTATAACAAAGGTTTACTAAGTGAAGGGCAGGTATTTTTATAGAGGCGAAATAAAATGCACTTTCTATTTAGTTCATTTGTAAAATTAAAAACAAACCTGGGCAAGGCCATTTTGTTGCAGTCTAATAGGCATTGTTACATGTAAAATACCTAAGATCTATGTCATGTCAGTTTGGAAAAAGAAGCTTTTAAATAAGTTCAAGTTTTAAGTTTAAACTAAGTGACCACGTGACTTAGTCGGTTTTGACTTTTGGGTCACGATCAATACCATATTCTTACAAAACCACAAAAGGGGCTCGACGTGCCAAATATCTTGTCTATTACCATTTTAGCTTCTGGTAGATACATATTTAAATTCTGCTTCTATACAAGTGAATATCAAAACTCCCTGGTGCATGATTTATTTTTTGTAATGAACCATTGAGCACTTTGACATGAATTAAAACATACATGTAATATAAAATTAACAACTTTTAAAATCTCGAATAATTTTCATATAAAACTGTTTCATTATAAGACTGTGTTAACATCTTATGATCTTCGAATTCTTTTCTGACAGCTATATTTTTAATTGATAGACATACTAAATACATACATACATGCTAATTATTTCCCATATCATAATGCGAAAAAATGAATTCCCAACAAATTCGAAAACAATAGGCATTTTCTTTGCATAAACAAACAAAGAAATTCCAATGTTTGATGACTTGTATAAATTATGTAGATGACCACAAAATAATGCCAATTATCTAAGATATCTTCTACGCTCGTGACGCTACGGTTTTTTAAAGTTTAAAAAAAAGGTTTAACCTTTAAATTCATCAGTCTGGTACAATTTTAATTACTTTTAAAATGGATTGCCTAAGAATAATTTATTTTAAAGTTTAGTAAAAAAGTACAATTTGGTTAAGGATAAACATGTATAAAAATAAGCAAATGTAGAAAAAGAAAATTCACGCGCACAAATTGCCAACTCAAAAATTCACCTCTGATTCGTCTAAGATAGGTTAAATGACGATGTGTGCAAATGTTACTTGTCAGGCTTATACCCTTTGTATTTATACCCTTTGTATAGTATGGTCATCAAAAGAACTTATGATGTATCAAACCTGCTTAAAAGGTTTAACCATCCATATGGTAACAGTGTACAAAGGGGAGATAAAAGTAATAATAATAATAATAATAATAATAACAATAATTATTATTATTATTATTATTATTATTTTAATTATTATTATTATTATTATTATTATTATTATTATTATTATTATTATTTTAAAAAAGATATAATCCTTCAAAATTTTTTAGACAAAAAGAGAAGACGTATACTTATTTTCAGTACGGCCTCCTGAATAATTACAAACAATAGAAGTAACAAAGGCTTTTAAAGAAAAATGCATGTACATATATTTTAACAAACAAAACTTCAAATATATACTTTATTTTATCCTTCACTAAATCACATTAAAAAAGAAATCTAGTCATATGACGGAAACTAACATAAACAATTAAATCGGCATCAATAAAAGTATTTTGAACTTGGATAGTTATTTTTATCGTGTACTTAATTGTATATAATATAAAATAAGTTTTAAAGCTGTCGTTTAAAGGTTGTATAGCCAATTATTGTTTGGTAGAAATGAGTTTTGTGTTCTAAACAGTATACTTCAATAAGGAAACGAGTCCTTTAGATCATTAGAATGAGGTATAGTTTCAAGGTCAATATTCTTATGTAGAATCTGGCGTAAATTGTGTTATCTCCCTATTGTGAGAGAATATATACTCATATTGCATAAATATTGTTACGTAAATCGCCCTTTAATTTAATTTAAATCATTTAAGTTTATCATTTAAAGCTATCAAAAAAGGTTTAACCTCAGATCCCCTTCAAAATTATTTCATTTAGATTCACCCATTGTTTTCTCGTTTAGGGAACACGCTTGTTTTTACTGCGTGACCTTACGCCGCTTTTCATGGAATGACACAAAAGTTTCACATTGATAACATCACATCCCCTTTCAAAATTCTATTTTATTTATTTCCGTCTATTGTTTTCTTCTTTGGACACACGCTTCTTTTACTGGGGGCCATACGTTGCTTTTCATGGAATGACATTTATGTGTCAAATGAAGGTTTCATAACTCAAACATTTAGAATTTGCGTGTTTAAATGTTGTATTCTGCTTAAGTCCGAGCTAGGGGGCGTGGGCAGTGACTCTCGAGTACCGACCACGAATAGGCTCATTCAAACCAGGCCTGCAACAATATCAATTTTGCCGTGCTTGGCTTTCTTTAAGATTCTGCTTTTCACTATTTCACTATTGTGCGTCTATAATACTAGAACCAGATATATATTTATGTACCTGAACACCAGGTCACTCCTGTGAAGTTTTGTCAAAATCCCCCATTCGAGAGATGTTCTTTAAAGAAATTGAAGACAACGACAAATAATATCATATCAAAAAAAATAAAAATGAAACAATAAAAATCTCAATTACAATTAATATGTAACTACACAGTGCCCTAGTATTTTCTCCAGCTAACTTACTATTCATGGTATGGAAAATGTTAACACACTTTTGGATAGTACTTATTTGATTTAATTTAATGTGCTTGTTTATCTAACGAACGTTTACTTCTTGTTATCAGCTTCGATACGAGAAATGCGTTCTTCCAATTGTCTAAACCGTTCATTAAATCTGTCAAAATGTGTATTTAACATTCCGCTAATTTGTTCCAATATTGTACTGTTTGTTGAATGTGTTGTGAATGGTTTTAATTGTTTTACCTTCAGTTCATCAAGAATAGCAGTTATTGGGGTTACATAACCCGAGTTATCATCGGTAAGTCCAACAAGCATACCAATGCATCTTAGAGTTGTTTCCTCTCCAGTATTATCCTCCATAAACACAAGAGCTCCAGAATCTCCTTGTTTACAAAATGGAATGTTCTTATCACATGATTTGATTTGGTATTGTTTATAAAGTGTAGTTGTTAATGATAGTCTGTCGTCTCCAATCGTCATTTTACTGAAGAATGGTTCTTCCTTAATTGCACAATTATCAAATTGCATAACCCCACTTGTGTTCAATGTCACGTAACCGAATTTTTGAACATTTCGTTGACCACTCGGAATACCTGTCTTTCCCCATACAAGACCTGTATTAAACGCTGAAATATATTTTTAATTAACAAGTTTAATATCAAGTTCGTTTTTTAAATATACCTTTAAATGAGAATGTTTTGTAAAATAGAAGTGCCCGGCCCAGATTATTGTCAGTAATTATATTTCAAACAAGCATTACCTATTCTCTCAATTACGATAATGTACATAAACATTGCCAAAAAGTAAACACAGAGCCATGGCGTTTTGTTATTGTGAAAATATCAGTTGTACATGTCATTGCTCTCTGATGAAGTTAAATGAATATCAACTTACCCATAAACATATATAGATGTATATAAATGCAAACCCTTGACCAATTGAACCCAAACTTCACCTCACTTTAAGGACAACCTCCTAATTATGAGACATTGGTGGTAAAATTATACAAATGCTGTGTAAGAAAAGTGTAAACAAATGTATTGTTTTAACTAGAAACCTTGACATGTGACTCGACAATCCAGGGTATATTCCCTCCAAATATGTCAATCTCCTGTCAAGAAGTATAGACTGTATAAGCAAAAGTTTAGTAATCTTGTTTTGGCACCCCTGACTTTGACCCACTTACCCTAACCCCACTCCAAAGGAAGCAAAGGAAAAAGACAATGTAATATATCTTTCTTCCAAATATGAAAATCATATGTCAATAATAAGGCTGTTTCGTCAAAAGAGTAAAACTCTGTTTTAGCACTAGTGACCTTGACACAACTGACCCCTAACTTAATCTATTATTGGAACCCTTGATTTGGACAAACTGTCCCCTTACTCACTCTTTAGGAGGGATGCAATGCAAGCTATCTTCGTATCAAATATGAAGATATCTGTCAATAAAAAAGGTTTATATGTGCAAAAGAGTATTTATACAGTATTTTTAGCAGTTGTGACAATGACCAAACTTACTCTTAACTCAATCTCATCCTACCAAATATGAAAATAAAAGACTGTATTAGCAAATGTATGGAAATATTTAAGGTACTCTTGACCATGACCCCTAACTCAATTAAAGATCCTGTATGTTTTGTGATTGATATTGGTACTGTGTGAATACCACACTTGCAAAATATTATATAGTATATAATTATGCAAATTAAACAATTTTCGAACATCGAAGAATATGTAAAATGTGTACTGCAAATATTTGTGCACATTATATTGAATCAATTAATTACATGCATTTTTTTCTTATTGGAAAATTTGACCTAGAATTTATAGAAAATAAATTTCTAATTACCTCCCTTTATTTTCATGAAATATTAAATTGGGTAATAACTTTATAAATAATGCTTATTGGAACTTACAATATTGACAAATCTTAATTTTAGCATCATATTTATGAAATAAAACCATGAAAAAATTGTGTTACAGGATCTTTAATAGGAATGATACCATGCAAGAAACCTTCCTACCAAATAGGAAAACAATCAGTAAATAAAGGCTGCATGGGCAAAAATGAAAAATTATATTTTACGTAGTGGTGACCTAGACCCAATTGATTCCTATCTCCCTAAAGATGTCAGTATTAAACATGAGGCACTTCAAATGAAAAGTTGTATGAGCAAAAATGTTAAATTCTATTTTGTGTACAGTTTAACAGTGACTTAGACATTGACCCCAGTCACTCCTAACCTTAAAAAGAAAATGGGACTATTGAAGGTATACATCTACCAAATATTGAAGATAACATTAAAATTGAAGTAATTTGGAGATATGTAGGTAAATTCAATTTGCCTAAATATGCATACCATACAAAGTCCTTTTTCAGTGGTAAAAAGGGAAAAAACCTTGAACAATGGATGGAACAGTTACATAACTTGGCAATATCATATATTTTGGAATAAGTGTGGAAACTATGAATTAATAAATAAATACAGATCAAGTACTGAAACAGGGCAATAATTTGGAGAAAATGGAAGTTAAGTTATGTAACTTGCCCAGATCATGAACTTTGTTTTGATTATTAAGTGAGTAAGTTATGAAGGAATTGGTACATTTATAATTTAAGAAAAAACAACTTGAGGTTTAGGTTAATATCGTACGGATGGACGTTTCAATTACTATATGCCGGCATAAAAAGCGAGAGTATTAAATTACGGAGCAGTAACTAGTTGATGAAGTGAATATTGGCACTTATTTTCAACTACAGTCAAACCAAAACTGCATTCTTACATGATACAGCAATCTTAATTTTCTCAAACATTCCAGTTCATTTATTATTTAACGGGAAATGTGCCTATGGAACACGGACATCACCGCAATATGACAATGTTTCCTATAAGAACCACCTTGACCTGGGTGTTGCTTGATACACACACTCCGTACCTTGTGAAGACCTTACACGCCCTTAAACGCGATATTGATTGCTTGAAGAACACACAACTGTTACATATGAAAATTAAGACAAAAATTATCGAGGAAAACCTTATTTATTTCGGTAGAACCTGTTTTCAACTTCTTAAGAAAAGGCGCTCAAGAGACTCACAAGATTTAAGACATGCAACATTTAGTGTGTAACTAGCAAAATTGTGTGGAAGAAATATGACACCGTATAAAAACACTTAAGTTTCGTCAGGGCATTTGACCCCTGTTGTGAGTAAACCTCTGGATCAAGTATGATTTCTCGGAATCATTAATCACAACAAGGTTTCATGAAAATTGCAGGCTCGATTTAACAGAATCTGTAAATGAAAAAGGGCAGCATTCCTCAAAAGCAATAAGAGGGAAAGAGTAAATGTAACCAAAAAAAACCCTTTAACCTCAATAAAAACTCTGACCTTAAAGATGTAAAATAATTTTAATACACCACATATTCTAACAGTGATAACGATATACGCCAAATATTGTAACAATCTATCATGGGATGACAAAGTTAAAAGTAGGATTATACTGTTCTTTGACTACCACTTTTTGTCGGTGCAGACATACATTTTTTCACAAAAACATGCTAATCAAGGTAACAAATTTCTTTTGTTTGAAGTCCCATATTGCATGCAGAAACTACACGAAGAATGTACTTTTTATAAAATATGAAAAATAAGAGGGTAGTGATGGCCCTTAATTTCGCTCACCTGACAATGAAGGCTTAATCCAATTTTACTTAGGCTGTATGACCTTGTTTTTTGACCCGAGATGACCTATATTCGATTTGACCTAGAATTCATCAAACCAACATTTCTGACCAATATATACGATATTTGGACTGAAAAAGTAGTCCCTAGAGTGTTAACAAGGTTTTTCCATATATGGGCGGTGTGACGTAGTTTTCACCCGAGGTGACCCATATTCGAACTTGACCTAGATCAAAACTGCAGCAAATAAAGTATTGACAGGAATTTTCTAACTTTAGCTCCTTTGACCTAGTTTTTGACCCGAGATGATCCATATTCGAGTTTCACCTATAAATCACCAAAGCAACTTTTCTTACCAAGGTCAAGGAAATTTAGACTTAAACAGTAGCCACTAAAATGTTAACAACGTTTTTTCTATATTTATTGTGTGTGACCTTATTTTTACCAAAGATGACCCATATTTGAACTCGTCCTAGAAATCATCAAAGCAACCTTTCTGACTAAATACCGGGGATATTTAGACAAAACCAGTAGCCCTTAGAATGTTAACAAGGTTTTTATTATATTTTTTATTTAGTCTGTGTAAGCTAGTTTTGACCTGAGATGACCCATATTCAAGCTTGACCTAGAAATCATCAAAACAACCTTTCTTACTAATTTGCAAGGTATTTGGACTGGACTAAAACAATTGCCACTTAGATGTTAAACACATTTTTTTGGCCTGTGTGACCTAATTTTTTACCAAAGATGAACTCGTCCTAGAAATCATCGAAGCAACCTTTCTGACTAATTTCCAGGATATTTACACCAAACCAGTAGCCCTTAGAATGTTAACAAGGTTTTCATATATTTGGACTGTGTGATCTAGACTTTGACCTGAGATGACCCATATTCAAACTTTACATAGAATTCAACAAAACATCCTTCCTGATCAATTTCCAAGATATTTGGATCTAAACTGCCACAACTAGAGTGTTAAAAATATTTTTTTACTTTTAGCTCCTGTGACCTAGATTTTGACCCGAAGTGACTCATATTCAAATTAAACCTAGAAGTCATCAAAATAACCTCTCTGATCAATTTCCTGGATATTTGGTTTGTAACAGTATCCCATAAAATGTTTACAAGTTGTTTTCTTTATTTTGGCTGACCTTGTTTTTAACCCGAGAATTATTATATTTGAACTTGACCTAGAAATCATCAAAACAACCTTCCAGACCAATTTCTAGAATACTTGTATCAAAACTGCAGCCACTTTAGTGTGAACTAAGTTTTTCTATTTTGAGCTCATGTGTCAGGACATTTCCCATATTCGAACTTGACCTAGAAATCATTAAAGCATCTTCCTTATCAATTTCCAGGATATTCGATGATCCATATTCGAACTTGACCTGTATTTCATTGACACAAACCAAAGTTTGATTATGGTCCAATCAAAACTGTGACTGCTAGAGTGTTAAAAGCCTAAATATTGACGAAGCACAACGCACGATGTACGACGACTGACACCGGACATAGCCCCATCACTATACTGCACCTTGACCACTTCTAGGTCAGGTTATCTAACAAGGAAGGGTGGCGTTCAATGAAGGCTACCCCAAACGTTTCAGCAACACAGTACTACCGGTGAGGAGCCCGGGAGGACACCAAACAATTACAGGACAGGGCAAAAGGCAAAGCAAGCACAGGACACTTACTTGTTTTTTCATGAATATGTGTTGACTTAAAATAATTACATGTCCTAGTATGTGCCAATTGGGGCACAAAAAGTAACAACACACATGTACAAAAATGTGTATCACTATATGCCCCCTATGTTATGGCCGGATAAAACTCTTATATATTGAGATAGGTCAAGAATTAAACTTTGTATCAAACTTACAAGGTAAATTGCCATCAGGAAACTGTCCTTCCTTTGGAGCACGTTTTTCAATCCTGAACAGTGCAAGATCAACTCCTGGTTTACCATTTTCTCCTTCCTTGTATGTAAGTTGTACAAGTTTCCCTAGTTTATTTTTAGATTTATCGTCATCGTCCGGTTGATACATGATGTGATCCTCTTTCACTGTAACTGTTGACATTTCTTTCAGTTTAAATTTATCATCATCATTCGCTACAACATGGGCGCATGTGATTCCACAAAGCCCGTACTCAGGATGTTCTATAAATCCACCAAGTGTTCCAGATTTTCCAGGGCACGTTGAAGACGTAATTTTACAGCCTAGTGTTGCATTTTCTTGATATTCATCAGCTTTATTTACACATAAACGAACTCCTCCTTCTCTTACATCGACTGGCATTCCATCTAATTCTGTAGGGAAACATTCCTCATTCAGTGGAATAATGCCTTTGACTAAAACATTAAAGACGATACAAGGACGTTTCTCAATTAAATGTTCAATTGTCATTGGTTCGAAATATCTGGACGAGACTGATGATGCAGATAAAGCAGACAGGAATTTGTGGTCGCTCATAAGTTTTTTAGAGTGCATGTCAATGATTTCTCCTATTCTTTGTGACTCTATTTCAGTCAGTGGACTATTTTCTTTGCAATGTAATACAACACTACTTTCGTCCGAAAACGTGTTAATGATTCTTATTTCTGTTTCCCAAATCAAATCTATTTCAATATTTTCTGCAGCGAAAACAAGAAAAATTACATGTTTGTCGTCTCCAAATCTGTAAGCAGCTTCGACATGTGTAATATGTTCTGATTCATCTTTGATCACTTTACAAATTTTTTGGCATTCCTTGAATACTTCCTGTGACTTTCTTCCTTTATTAAGCAACAGTTTTGTTATTTCAGAATTGTTCAAAATGCCATCTTTCTGAGAATCTTTTGATCTGATTACATCATCTACATAAACAAATTATTTTGATTTTACATTTTGTTATTTCTAACCATAGTTACATTTACATTTATGTCCCCATTGAACAGTGCGACACAAACTGAAAATTCCAAATTTTTACTAAGTCAAGGACAATAACTCTTACAAAAAAGATTAAATTCACAAAATTAACTCTGAAAAAAAACAAAAAAAAACAACAGAATATATAAACAGAACAAGCGAAATCCCGGGTGCACAACGTCATATGCTGAGCAACATTCCTGTAAGGTTTCATGACTGTCGGTCAAATTCTTTTTGAGCTACATGCAACACAAGGGCAAAAACCCTAACAAATCTAAAATATCCATATGCAAAACCAAAGGTGCATGGCTTCACCGTGATGTTGATCATTATTTCTGTTAAGTCTGTTTAATCTAACTCAAGCACTCAAGGTACAAATAACCCAACAAATAAAACGGTTTTTACTAAGTTAAGGGCAATAACTCTAGAAATACTGGATAAATCAACAAGCAAAGCACAAGGTGTACAACAACACACGCTTACCAATAATTCTGCATGACTTTGGTCAAAAACCTTTTTAGCTGTGTGCAGGCTTAAAAATAACAAATTTTTACTAAGTCAAGGACAATAACTCTACAAATACTGAATAAATCCACACGAAAATACCCACTTGCAGAACATCACATGCTGATCAACATTACTGTAAAGTTAAATACTTTTTGAGCTACGAGCGATACAATTTAAAAATTGCAATATTTTACTAAGTCAAGGACAATATCTCTGACAAAACAGAAAAAAAATCCACTAATTTAACCTCAGCATGCCTGTAAAGTTTAATGACTCTAGGTCAAATACTTTTGAGCTACGAGCAACACAAAATGAGAACGGACGGACGGAAAGATGGACGAACTGACATGGGTAAATGTAACCCCTCCACCCAAGTGGGGGTACAGAAATGTAAATTACTTCGCAGGATGCTTGGGGCACAACTGCTTTATCGTATTGTCGAGTAACAAGATGGTTAAATGTGTTCAAGAATGGCAGGGCGTGCATTAAATACCCATCGAGCAGTTACAAGTACAGCTTCCGACGATTATCACACTGTACAATAACAAGTTTGTTGGAATGGGTCGTGTGTCGAAAATAATTGTAGGATCACTTCATACTATTTGGTACAGTCAGGTGGCTGCCACATTGTTTGACGCTTGATTTAACAGAACGTCGTTTCGAAGTGGTCACCAATCTACTTTCACGGTTTCATTCGGAAGTGCAGGACTTCTTTTTACGAATCATCATTTCTAACGATAAAACGTAGGTGAGGTCGTATGCGCGGGCAGACGTGGATATCTCACATATTACAAGGTCGAGCATGGTGAAAAGATTAACTGGAAATCCTTTATGGAGTTATTTAAGAAAACATTTTGACATGCGATCTGTAGAAAGATCTGTCGACAGCAAGTCAAAAACTTCTACATGACAAAGCAATATCGCGAGGCGGGCATGACGGGACGTCAATGCTAGAGCTTAATGGGTGGGAAACCTTGACCAACTCCGGATATAAGTCCCTCTGACTTTGACCTTTTTACCCAAACTGTGGGAGGGCGTTACGGATATTCGTTATAACGATTAATAGGAACATTATTTTTGCCGTGACTGCAATGGTGGTGTGCTTGAGAACGGTTTCAAAACAACGGGCATTGCTGATCTTCAAAAGAGGAAGAAGCCAGTTACTGATAACAACGGATATTTCTTTGAAGGAATGTTGAGAGGTAGCAACCTTAGATTACTTATTTCTCAAATTATCAGACATTGCATTATTGAATGAATGACCCTCTATTTTCACGATAGCAAGCATAACTTAACTGTCATAATTGTAACTTCTGAAAAGAATGATGGTTATAGATAAATCAAAACCTCCAACTTTGCTGCCTTTTTACATGCAAAGAATAAATATCCCAAATTTTCATGCGAATATGCCATTTAAAGCTAAGTTAATGTAATTTAGATAACAAAAATGGCATAATCTGACAATAGCATAAAGCGACTTTAAGTAAAACTAAGTATAAGAAAGTATCATTATTATTTATGTTTGAAGGTTATAAAAAATCAAATTTTATAGTGGAATTCTTATACGAACCGTGGAAACTTAATATGTCGTTGCTGTCCTCTCAGTCCTCTGACAATGTTCCATGTTCAATTAACGGCTGTAAATATAGATCATTCAATACTAACTTTACAAAATAATAAACAAGAGCAATCGCCTAGCAGGGACTTATCTCAAGTTTTGTCAAACAAATTGGGGAAAGAATATTGCAGTAACAATTATATCTAGCAAACACAATGTTCTTATTTGAAATAAAATTTCAATTTCTTGTACGACCTAAATAGGATAACAAAGGGACCCAATATACAAGTCTGTTTAAGATACCGGTAGTAAATGAACCCTACCGCAGATAAATATTTAGCCACATAGACATGATTTATAAATTGTTGTAAGACCACAAACATCTTAGCTCATTCAACTGTTGCCAAATTATCAGAAATATGTCAATATATGTTCTTTTACGCCTTATTGTGACTGCTCCGTAGTAACCATTTATTCTTACAATTCTTTCCCGGACCCTTTCTTGAAAGACTCAAATGTATAAGCGTCATTCCAATCAAGAAGAAAATGTGTGTGAAAATCTGACGGCATGGTATTTCTGCAGACTGAAATCATTTGAGCATTTAATAAATATGACTTTCCAAGAATTAAACCTAGTTAGTTTCGTCAAAATCTATAAGCCGGTTGAGGACAAAATTTCAAAAGATTTTCTTTCTACGTTTAGCACGTACAGAAACTGTAATCAATGAAGCAATTTCTATAAAGGCTCATATAAGCATCATTCTTGTACCTTGTGTTACGAGCCAGGCGTAACGAGAAAGAAAAACCAGCAACAAACTTTTTACAATAACAAATGTATTACAGAAAACAACATAAAAGAAAAATTGAAGAACAAATTATGCTTATAAATACCTGAAGTCAAAATAAAACTGTAAATCACAAATGTCTAGTCTGATCCTGGAATGATCACTTTTTGAACAGCACAGTTAAATCCAAGTTAAATCCAAGAACATTTTAGAGTAAATTCCAACAATAAAATCCACGAGAATAATTTAATCTATTTTAAAATCCAAGCTTTACTAAATTACCTAATATCCAAGTTGAATAATACTCCAAGTGTATTGAGACTTAAAAGGTAAAGAAAATGAAAAATGTCCCCTTATTTATTTTTAGCTAAGATCATTCTAGGTCAGTCTTTTATAGGCCTTTCTCAAATTATATGCATACTTTACATTCCATCACCAGAGAGAGGCTAACAGGGCATGAATGTAAACAAATAATGTCTGACCTGATAAGCCCTAGTGTGTTAAACTTACTGGGGAAATCTCATTTTTATTCCACTCTGTTATTCCAATTCTAGATATAATTATACCGTTAATTTTCATAAAATACCTAAGGATGTGAGTTTAACAAAGTAAAGGATTGTGAAAATAAGATGGATGAAAGAACATTTCAAGGTAAAATACCATTGTTCTTTTCTTTTTAAACCAAGCTACTTAAGTTGTATTACTACTTACATTAATTACACTCATTTCTCATTGTTTTAAATGTTTCATTTATATAAACATAACAATATGTTTGTTCATAAATTTCATTTAAAATATCACACTTATAATGATAACATTTAAAAGAATCTTAATCAATACCGTTTTTATACTAAAAAGCAATAACGGTTATTTTATGTACTATTTCAGATCAATAGTTTGCAATAGTTGCTCGTTTGGAAGCATTTCACACAATAAGATTAACAATCATGGACATAAATTCATATATGTCTGAAGAGAACAGAATTATGTACCCTGTAGATGGTTCGACTGGAGTAATAATCAACAGAACAATAAGATGAACACTTAAGAAGAAGATTTCATTACCAGATGAAAGGTATACACAAGACTTAATTTTGCATTTTTTACACATAAACAAAGATCAGCCCCTGTAAAAAAATATATGTGTAATTAAAATATAAATCGATTTAATATTCTAGAAATGACATAATTCTTGTTTCCACTACTAAATAAAAGGTATATATTTTCAGGAACTCCATTGACATGAACACAAATTGACAATTGGTATTTGAATCGCCTTTAATTGTAATATCTCTTCATGGCAGTGGTAAGAAACTATCAGTTCAAAGAAGAATTACAGATATTTTGTAGTGTTATACAGGATTTCCAACAAAATTTACTATATATTCATTACAGTTTTCAATAGGAAAAACATTAAGAGCGTTTATTATGATGCAAGCAAAACAATCAGCTTGACTGGCGAAATGTTTTTAGCATATTTTAAAGGACCATTTGTTCAGTCTTTAGCGCCTTGAATTTAAATAAAAACTTTAAAAGAAATCATCGCATTACTTTGTTTTTTAACATTGTGCTTTGTTACATATATGGTGCAGGGAATATGTCAATTTTTTTATTACATTTAATATTTTGTTCTCTTATTGCATTATATTGTTGAATATGTCTTGGAATGTTAAAAGAAGTGCTAAAACTCGATGCTGCCTTTCCTAATACCCTACAACTGCAAGGTATTGCGCAGGTTTTTTGCGAATGTTCAGTCCCCTATATATGTACATGGAATATTTGGGGTTGGTAAGTCCAAGCAACATCCTCTGGAAGTGCCGTGTTCCCTAATGATTTGTTATATACCAGCCAGTGGAGGGTTTCAACAATATGACCACATAATCAAGTCGGACCAACTGGACAAGTGCAATAATCTAATGATACTTCAGCTTCGTCTTAATATTTGACTGATATTTGCAATTAAATGATTGTATTTCGTTATATACTAAATATTTTATACTGTAATTAATTAAATAGTTGATAATATATAAGTTTTACGTTCCTTACTTAGCATGAAATGTATTTTTACATTGCTGTAAACAACATCATGTGTTATGATGCTGAAAATCCATTGAAATGTATAGGACGGGGTGTCATGTTTAAACAAAATATCATTTTGATTTGATTAGGCTGTCTGTAAAATTAACCAGTTTCTAGAGAGTCATCCAGAATTTTTTACTTTTAAATACAAAGTGAATAAAACTTTTTAAAACTTTTTTATTTCAATAGCTAAATTTAGGGGAAGTATGGTACAGAATTCAGCATCCAACTGTTTACATCTATTATCAGTAAATTGCTTAATACACTCTTGACCAACATGTGTTGAGGTTAGCAATAAAATACTGATAACGCAGATAATGTCTATTTAAGTTGCAAAGAGTTAACCTGATATTTATACTGACAAAGAATATTAGAAATTACTTGGAATTATCATAAACTTTAATTGACTTATCAGGTCTTGTATGTCCTTCACTCTATATAGTGTAAATTAAACCCTTTGTTGATTTATTCATCTCCAGAAGAGATTTTTTAATATTAAATATAGTTCTCAACAAGTATGAAGCAAACAGAACATTATCAAGATCCCTGACACTGTAGAAAAATCTTTCGGCCATATATTCGTGATAGGTTTACATAGAGCAGATACCGCAGCTTGCCCTGTTAGCCTCGTTCTGAGAAATCTATGAATATGTATGAGGCAATATTAAGAAGGGTCTATTTCTACAGTAATCATAATCTAGCACCTTCAACAATAAAGAATAATCTGGATATTTCTATCTAAATATAATGTACGAATCATAATTTAGAATTTTGTACAACAGTTATAGAGGATATTTGTTTGTTTGTGTGTAAGATGCAATTTTATTTCATCGAGTGGGCTTGAAAACAGTATTCTCACGAGTGGCGTAGCCACGAGTGAGAATACTGTATTTAAAGTTCACGAGATGTAATAAAATTACATCTTATACAACAAAAAGACAAATTTTCTTTTTATTTTATGCTTAAAAACAAGTTAAAACGAAATTTCTATACTTTTAACGTTAATATTAAAACTGTTTCCCCCATTGAGAGCCCCATTTAGTCGGAATTTCTCATTAAAAACAAGAAGTCTTGAACTGAAAAATAAGTCCGCCAATCAACATTAAATGACGGTGATATTTATTCAATTTATTAAAAAAATATGAATGATCGCTTGTTTTAATAATAAAACAAACAATTCTTGTAGGAGAAAAAGTCCAACCATCCATCCATATTTCTGTTACTTACTGCGAATTTATATTAGACCTGGCTTGTGTATTTCATGGGAGGAAAATAATTGTGTAAGATTCATAGGGATATAATTTGGATTCGTTAGTCATACACCTTTTTAAAAGAAAGAAAACTTATTTGAGGATTGTAACAGACAAAAAATAAGTGTTGACAGATGTGAAAACATTCAGAAAAGGAGCTAGGAAAATGGAAAACTTGGAAGCTTGCAAGAACGCTGGGCTTTTTTACTTATTCTACGAGTGATGGCTGTCAATGCTTTTCAATTTTTCATAAAGCATACGGCAGTTATTGCTCGTGGGATAATTTAATATGCCCAAATGTCATCAAGAGCAGTTTTGCATGGGAAAGGAATGTATTTTTCAGACTGTAAAAATGAAACAAAAATTATTTAGAGACGAAATTTGGTGATTGGAAATTGAATGAATAGAAGTAAGTTTTCTTCTTTTTATTACTTTTGACATTTAAGTTATTTATCAATTTCAGCTTTGCTTTTTCTATAAACAGCATGACATTGTCAGAATTGTCAGCAAAAATAAAATTGAGGTACCACATGGGGAAAATCTTATAAAAGTAGTTTCGTCATTGAAAAGAGTGAAATTATATTTTGATAATTTTCACTGTGAAATTACCAAATATAATTTTCACGGATAAATCAGTATTCCACTGAAAAGCATAAAATAAAAGAAACTTCTTGTTAAATCTTTTGTTGACATTCTATTCAGGTACACATGTAGCTTATATGTGATAAAAATAGAACAATGATAATATTAGAAATATCAACTTGTCAGAGATAAACTGTATAAATGTAATATGTTGCATACATAACACTTCCCCTCTTCAAAAAAAGAAATATGAATGAAATGAACATTTCTTATACATAAACACAAAAACACGAAAAAGACATGGATATACGGAAGTGTACGAAATTCCGTATATCATTAATATAGGTGTAAGAATACGGGAAACTTGAAATACGGAGATGTACGGGACAGTATATTATATCAGTCCGTATATGACTAGTATATCAACTCCGTACACTCGTAATGTACGGGAAATTTGATGTACGAAGTCCGTATTTTACTAACATACGGAATTTTATATGACAAGTCCGTATATTACTTAAATACGAAATTCCGTTTTCGTACAAATACGGATTCTGTATAA